CAAAAGGCTGCCCAATGGCCTCCAACAAAAGTACTACCTTTAACGGGGAAGTCATTGTAGCCCATAAAGAGCTTCAGTCAAGCAGATGCAATTAGCAGCACAGTGACTAAGAGGCCTGCTAGTAAGAAGGATATTTTGATGAAAGATAATGAATTGAACCAGCATTACAATTTCCTTAATTAAAGGCAAAGAGTTTTATATGAACATTCAAACCTGAGGCCTCATTATAGAACTCTAAATATTGAATGATTTTGCAACCTGGATTCTCACTGGGGCAGCTAGTGCTGGGCTCTACTGAGCCAACCACTCTCAGCCTGGGGACTCTTTGCTTCTGCTGGAGTGAAGGGATCTTTCAGCTCCCTCTCAATTGACACCCTGGTGTGGGTGAGCCACTAGATGGGGACAATGCCCACAGCTCCCATCCTGCCCACAGTCAACTGCTGAGCTGAGCAATCATGAAGGAGTTAACTCTACGCAGGCTAAGGTGCAAAGTCTCCTAGTAATTTCATGCGGCTCCTTTTGCAACACTGGGAAGCAAGAAGTCCATCTCCTGGCTCTCAGCAGAACAGGCCGAGGATTAAGAAAAGGAGGTGCTTTCCTTTGTCATTTGTGGCATGTTCACAGCTAGTATGGCAGAGGAAGGTGAGGGGAGAGCACCTCTGTCAGAGTAATGTTGTGGAGCAGGGTCCCTTCAGGTGTATAGAACAGCCCCGTGGCCAGACTGCACCCTTCCTATAGCAGGCAACACCTTGTTCTGGGGAAGGACAGTGGCACAGTGTTGTAACCGTAGTCCAGATAATCAGGGCAGGAGAGCTGCTGGCAGCACCTCTGCCTCCCACAGTGCTGTGTGATGGAGAGACAGGGCACAAGAAGGCAGCATCTTTTGAGCAGTGGATAGAGTATTTGTGATGCAAGTGCACAGAGTGCAATAGGGAAGGAACATTAATAGAATGTGTTATTTATATACGCACTATACCATTCAGAAGCCGTTTTCCATTCCCATGTGAGCCACTCATTCCCTTGAGTCAGAGGATTTTCCTATTCCCAAGACATCTTGTTTCAGGTAAACTCCTCTACCTGTTGTACAGCTTGCTTCTGCTTTGCAGTGACCCTGCTCACTGCCTTGCCTTTCACCATTGCAGACGTGAGCTGGTTGCTGCCATTCCAGGCTCTGCCTTAGTTTTTCTTTGGTATTCAGGTGCTTGTTGATTCCTCCCACTGCTATCTACTTCCCTGCTGCCTTTCACCACCCAGTTCTTTCTCTTTCAGCCATGGCTGCTCATTCTGTTCACATGCTGTTCCCCTGCAGCCCCTCCAGCTCCGAATTAATGTTTAACAAGGTGGCCAGCCAGGTGCTGGAGGTGCTCTCATTCAGGCTCTAGCTTGCTTACTTTCATCATGGGGACATGGACCACCTGTGCAGCCCCAGCACGCACAGCTCTCTCTGAGTTGATGACCTTGCCTTGCTGAAGGCAGAGGTGTGGACACCAACTGCAGATGGAAGCAGGATTTCTCCTCCTTCCCCAAGCATGGGCCTCGAAGAGGACACTTTCAGCCAGGTAGTAATTGCCTTTTTTCCTTTTGTTGTGATGCACCATCTGCGTGCACAGAGTTTTCTTGATCAAAGTGTGCTTAATTACTGCTGTTAATGCCAGATCAGCAGATCAAATTTAAATCCTATTTTCCCTCTCCTTTATGCTGCCCAAGAAGAACTGCTGAACACCAAAGCTTAAAGTTTCCTAAAAGAACGTGAAATTAATTATGTAGCTGTGTTATGACAATGCATAAATGATTAAAATAAAAATGACTGCAAATACTGCAAAGAACTTTTGCCTCTGGCCAAATCGGTGTCACAACTCAATTCAGCACCCTCTGTGCTAACTCTTTTGGTGATATAACTACCTTCCAAAGACAGTAGTGGTTATTTCATTACTTGTGTCCAGTAATTTAAGAAGGTTCATAGTGGGTGACCACTGACCAGATGAGCCAGAAGAGGATGATCTTTTTTTTTTCAGCTTGGAAAATAAGTTATATTGTTGTCTACTCTAAGATTTCTAAATCATACAGGCTAGAAGATTTGAGTAGTCCTAAAAGTTCAGTGCCTGTTATTAATTAACATGGAAGGTTCTGATTCTCTGCACTGCAGCAAGAATTTGTAATTTATGTAGACACTGTAAATTCAGCTAGAGTTCCCCACGCTCACTCTTTCTTATTAGCAACACATTATTAGCATACTGGGCCCATAAAGAGTGTCTGTAACATGACCAGGAGAGTCTGGAAACTTTTAGGACACAGTACAGGGCAGAACTTGTGCAGTTGAATTCTTATACTTATTTTTTTTGATAGTCATGATAACCTCTAATCACTGAATTGTTAAGGTTGGAAATAAGATCATTTTGCTAACTGTCTACCTACTATCAATACTAATACTAAACCGTGTCCCTAGGTACTACATCTACCTTTCCTTAAATACCTCCACTGTCACCTGGACAGTGACTCCACCACCTCCCCGGGCAGCCTGTTCCAATGCATCACCACTCTTTCTGAGAAGAATTTTTTCCTAATATCCAATCTTTCTTCTAGTAAGGAGCGCAAAACTTGAGGTAATGAGGTGTGACTTCACCAGTGGGAGATGCTCAGAAGCAGTGCATTTGCCATTGCTTTTCCAGAGTGAACGCACTAGGCCTGTTATATGGTAGCTTACATATATTTCAGATTTTGTGTTTTATCTTAATGAGATTTTTTCCAGCTTGCTACATGCCCTCAGTACCTTGAATATGTCAGAGATGTCCTTGTCACTCAAGATCACTAGATGTAAAGCAGCAGTGATCAGATCCCCTACTTTTCCTTAGGCAGCTGACCCCTGCCCAATTTCTCAGCCATTTTAACTACAGGATTGCTAAGAATAGACACTGTGTGTGTGTCTAATTCCATATCTGTTCAGACCATTCTGAATCTCTACGCAAGTGAGGGATGCTGACATCAGTGAACAATCTCCTCTCATTCTGCGAAATGCAGCTGCTAGCAGATCAAAGCTATGCAGACCAGCATGCAGTCTCCCTGCTCTGTGGAGAAGCTGGCTGAGAGCTGCCTAACAAGAATCACTCGGGGGACCCCAAACTACCCCAGCTCAGCATCAGCAGCTGGATGTGACCCCCAGGACCTGCATGTGATCAATGCAAAGACTGGTGTGCTCAGCCTCTGTCTGCTTTCAGAGATTTCTTAAACTATCACTATAAAGTGCTCCATCCAGCACTTGTACAAGTCATATTCTATGGGAAAAGTATCTTTGAGTGATCCTAGCAAGCCTGGAATAAGAATAATAGTGCTGTGTTCAATTTACCATGATTTTCCTGTTATTTATTTGTTATTTTTATTAATATTCTTGTTGGGGTGGGTGTGCTACAAGTTTTTCAGTGGATTTTTTTTTTTTTTTTTTTTTTTTGTGGCTGCTTTGCTACTTCCAGAATATCTCAGTGTCTTCTTTCTTAATTGGGGCTGTCAGTATGCTAGAATGATATCTTCTGTCTTTTTCTTGTTTCATTTTGCTGTATGTCACTTTAATAGAGCCAACTAATACTGATTTAATTCTTAGTTTAAGACAGCAGGTTTTTTTCCTGCAGAATTCTTCTCAAAGACATGTACACAAAATTCTGATAAATATTTTTGCAAAGGGGAACATTTGCTGCTATACAAAGTATTTTAAACATTCTATTAAAAAAATTCATGTAGGGGATCATTTTAATTCAAATGAATTCTGCTAATCAGGAGGCAGAGCGTATGCAGAGCTTAGTCTTGCAAGCAAAAAATGTTATTATACACTTAGCATAATAGCTGCATAAGAATGGGATCTAACAAAGCATTGAAGTGAATGTTTGACATTCAAGCATCTGGATAGAGTTAGCAGGGCTATAATTTTACCTTTATGTCAGAAAACGCCTGCCATGTTGTAGTCTAATTTCTCAGGTTTAGAGCCTAAGAGCTTTACATAAAAATAAGGTTTGTTTTTTTAAGTGAAAATGTGCTCTGTCATACTCAGATTTTTTTTTTTTTAATATTTTCCTCATTTGCCCTCAAACGTGGGTGTCTGAAGCTGACAAGTTGTCTCAGAAAATTAAGTCAAGCTGGAAGAAAGAGTACAGTGCTATGGCAGAGCAGCAAATAAGATTTACATTTTCAAGCAAGAGTAGTAATTAGGCCATTGCATATTTTATATTTTCATGTTTATTTTCAAAGAGATGGATCAAAATAAGCATAGATGTAATGAGACGTAAGTGCTCCAACAAGCAGTCAGAGTTCATCAAGTAAAAGCTACAAATTACTGTTCAGTTTTGCTGCCACCCACAGTGTTTACATCCCTGAAATATCAGCAGGCAGGTGCTTTGGTTGGAGTTGTAACTTGATTTGGGATTATAACACTAATTATTAAGGGAATAGGCTTCATTTTTGTTCACTGGTTTTGAAAATCGGACAGATGAACCACTGCTATGGCAGAGGATGATCTGGAGGTCCCAGGCTCTAAGCTCCAGGCAACCCTTCCTGCAGCTGTGTGCATGGTGTGGACTCAACTGCTGTCTTTCCTTCCAGAACCATACAGGTGACTCGGGCAGTGACCATTCTCCTTACCTGTGTCTCTGCACATGTATTGCAACATTTGCCTATGTATGGTGCTGCTTTTCCAACAGAAGTAATGTGATCACTATTAAAAATGTCGGATGACTCAAGATGTAGTTGTATGCTAACCTAAGGTGTTTGACCGTTAAATTTCTGTAGTATTCCCTCTATTTTGACATCTTTCTTTACAGTGAGAGTAATTGTGTCAGCTGAGCTAAACTTAGGAGCAAAAAAGTCGCTAGAGTTCACAATCTGATTTTTCTTGCCATTGCAAAGATGCAATCCTTCCCTAAAAACTGCTGGAGTACTTCATATCCAGGTACATACCATAAACAAATTTAGAGAAAGCAATGCAGAATATAATTTTTTTGCTTCCTTCCCCACAGATCTGATGGCACATAAGCCTTGCTGCTTTCACAAATAGAAACCAAGTTGGGTGCTTTCATCTGCCCTCTTTGAATTACATCGATTCCAATTACAGAAAGAAGAAATGGAGGAGAACTCCCCACCACTCTGTGTCACCTGTGGCCAGGCACATTTACCAGAGGAAAACCACTTGTACAGCTACACTGAGGAAGTAGATGATGATCTGATCTGCCACATTTGCCTGCAACCTTTGCTTCAGCCATTAGACACGCTCTGTGGTCACACCTTCTGCGCTGCCTGCCTTACGAACTTCCTCTTGGAAAAAGATTTCTGCCCCATGGACCGCAAGCTGGTGGCTCTCCAGAACTGCAGGAAGTCCAGCATACTGGTGAATAACCTCCTGGACAAGCTAATGGTTAGCTGTCCTTTCACAGAACACTGCTCAGATGTTGTGCAACGCGGTCACCTCGAACAGCATTTCCAAACCCAGTAAGTTTTTGTTGAGGTGGTGGGGTTTTTTCATTGTGCTGTCTTTTCCTTAAGGAGATGGAGAAGTATCAGCAATTAACACTGATTTGAATAGACTGGTAATGTAAAGAATGATTTATCAATTTCAGTCCCCGGGAGCATCTATACTATCATGAGGTTAGAACTAGTTAGTATTTGATGATGTCTCATGGGCTTTTTTAGAGTCAAATCCACTTAAGATACTTCATGCTATCACCAGTGGTTCTGGGCAGATACCTTGTGGTAAGCTGCGTAATGGAAGTGTGTGTTTAGTCATCCAGAGAGATCTGTGAGTTTTGGGAAGCTGAACTATCATAAATATTTCAGTCATACTACGGCTTTTGTAATTGCCCTTTCTTCAATCCATTTTTGAATCACAAATGACCTACATGTGAAGTAGAGCAGAAAACATCCCAGTTTGGTGCTGGCCTTTGGAGCTGAGGGCTCTTTCCTTCCAGGTGCACACTGGCCCCTTGATGACACATAGGGACTCACAGAGGGCAGCCCAGCCTCCATGGCCTTGGTCATAGCCGCTGTGGCTGGGACCACCTCGCTCAGGGAAGACATCCCCAGGGAGCAGTTAGTTTCTTTGCAGGGGGGGAACTGAGGGTGAGTGGCCCTCAGCACTACTGCCCAGGAGTGTTCAGATTTCTTCCTTTGCAAACACAGGTAGAAGGCCTCTGTTGGCCAGCATGCTCCTAGGTGGGCATGGTAGTACTGATGGTCAGAGCATCTCTTTCCCAACCTGATGTGTACTGCAGGTGATTGGTGCCAGCAGCATCACAGAATGCATGAGCAGAGGGCTGGAGCAGTGCACTAGGGAACCCCACAGCTGGCGGTGGCTCTGTGACCTGACATTCAAATAAAAGCCCATTCCCTAAGGCACTTGGATTCCTAAGAGGAATTTATTCAAGGTACTTACTGTGGAACTAGCTGATGCTGCAAGGGGTGCTGCCAGCCATGCTCCACAAGGTGAGTTTTTGCTGCTAGAGAAATTAGCAGGATTATCTGCTGTTTTCTGCCTCTGGTTAGTAATTCTCTGACATACCAAAAATATAGATTTCAGCAGTGATGCAGGTAAAGGGACTGACAGTCTGCTGTGAGCTGCTGTCATAGAGATTATGTTGCTCTACAGATTGCAACAATAAAATCTTCAGCCCCTAGTGCAAATATCCTTTCCTTTTGCTATATACAAGAGCTGCTCTGAAAGTAATGCCTCTTATTTTGTTATGTTGGCCCATGATGTCAGAGGCAGATGTTGGTGGTGTGACAGTAGAAGCTGAACCTTCCTACCAATGCTCTGTTGCATTTTGTTGCCATGTGACAGATGGCAGCAGAGGGGCAGTCTGACAAAGTGGCATCTGTTATGGAAATGCGTATGGAGCAAATGTGTGTCACTGAATTCCTCCATGAGGGAAAAATTGCACCCATGCACATTCATCAACACTTGCTGAATGTTACAGAGACCAAACAGTGCATGCGAGCACAGTGGATAGGTGGGTGGTATGTTTCAGCAATGATACTGTCATAGCATCTGTGAAGCAACAAATCACCTCCACTGGTGCAGATTTTTACCAGAGTGATAGACAGGCTTTTCTTCATCATAGGTGAAAACTCATAGCTAATGGTGGTGACTATGTTGAAAAATAGTGTTTTGTAGCTGACAATTTCCTCTATCAAATTGTATTACTGTGCTCTCTGTATGTAGTTCCTCACTTGTCCTGACCCCAATTAGAGCTAGAAGGAATAGGTCAGTAACATATACCTACAGTCTTTCTGCAGCTCCTCCCCCATACCAGGCTCTCCCAGCCAAGTCTCAGCTTCAAAAGCCCATAGAGGGGCTGGAAAGGAAGAGCAGTGTTCTCCCTGCTTTCCACATCCTAGTGCACATCTCAGTGCAATACAAGGTCATGCTACGCAAGCTGTGTGGCTTCTTTGCTGCCACTAATGACCGTATTTTCCATTTGCAGTATGATTTGTTTCCTTAATGGGATGTTTAAATTTCCCTAAGGCCAGAGGTATTTAAAAGATAGTACCTTTGCTGTTGGGTGTTTTTCTAAAACCCATGGGTTTTTACAGTGTAAGCCAATTGATGCTTTCCCAAGGGCATGCCCTTACTGGCTTTCCCACCCATGAGAAGAATTAAGAGGAAACTGTGTGACCCATAAAGGAGACTTTTGAAACATTGTGTTTGCAGAGCTTATGCAGAACATTTATTGTTTTCCACATGCAGCATTTGTTAATAATCACCAAAGGCATTTCATGACTCTGCAGAGATGCAGAACTTGCCCTTGCCACCCCACTTCCAACTCATTGTGGTGCTGGAGAGGAGAAGGGCACTGTACTCTTCAGCCACAGCTCCAGCATGCCCAGAAAAAATAAATGCTGTTCTCTTTAACATTGATGAATCAGTAGAAAAGGTGTCTGATTTTGTTGATTGTGATAATAATAGAAATAGTAATAACAATAATAATTATAATTCTCATGCAAGTGAACAGAATGGCTCAGATGCTGGGGAAAAAATCTTGACTAAACATGCTCTGTGCTCCCAGGGAATAAATCAGACTGTATGAGAGTCACCAGGGCAGCCATGAGCCCTTGTATTTCTTACACAAATTGGTCTCGGACCAATCCATGCTTGTCCTGCTCAGAGATAGGGTCACTGATGGGACAAGGTGAGTTTGTTGTGTTTTATGCTTTGTAATTGAAGAGAGAACTTGAATTTTTTAAAACAGCAGTTATCGCAGAGGTATAACATTAGAAACAACCTTATTTAAAATGTTTGCTCTTTCATCCCTTGAAAAAAGGGGAAAAAAAAAAAAAAAAGAGAGAGAGAGAGAAAGAGAAGAGAGATGTCCTTGATTTACTATGTGATTTATGTTTGCACAGAGACATCCGAGTGGATTTTGGGAATTCAGACAGCGATGCAGACAGGCAGCAGTTGGCTGTGATCCTTTGCAGTGTTTTACTTTAAAAAGGTGTGGTCTTCTGCTGTCGCCTGCTTCCCAACTCCACAGGGGGCACGTTCCCCCCTTGTCAGATGGCTACACCCTTCCGTGATGCAGCTCGCTCGTAACCCATCTGCTGGTGGGCAGTGATGTAAACCTACCAGCTGCCTGCGAAGAACCACTCTGAATCGTGCAGGAGGCAGGTCTCTTCCCTGAGCATCGCTCTGCTCTGCAGCATAAGTCACTGTCTCGCCAAGCACGCTGTGCTGTCCCTAAACCCTCACAACTCCCCGTCTGAGAGTCAGATCGAATAATCCTCTTACAGGTCAATGATTTTGCAGTGTAGCCTCGTTTATGGGATTTAAGCTCAATTCGTAATGTGCTACCGTTGCGTTGAAATGGGAAGGCTGGCTTAGAAGGGGCTTGGCCAGCACGAAGCTTTGCGTTGCGTGTCCCACCCGCACAGAGCAAGCGGGAAGGAGGAAACCTGGCAGCGGTGCCATCAGCGCTGGGAATGAAGGCTCTTCTGCTGCTGGTCCTCCCCTGGTTAAGTCCTGCAAACTACATAGACAATGTGGGCAACCTGCACCTCCTGTACTCCGAGCTGTGAGTACACGCGGTCCTCGTGTTCTGTCGGTCTGTCTCACCATAGTGGTGGGGAGGTTCTGGACTTGAGCATTGTGGGGTCTGTCTGTCTGTCTGTGCCTGCGTGTTTGCATGAAGAAAATGAGGCAACATTTTGCCAATAGACTGAAACAAGGCTGCAAACCGGCTGCTTTGCATCGCACAGGCTAATAATAGCAATACGTCCCCGCTGCTTTCTGCTCCCTGAGCATGGAAGCAGCCAGGGCGTACAGAGGCTTTTTCCTTATCGACTTGCTCTGCTGTGCCAGCCTTTCCAGTGGTTGTTGGGTTTGGCTGTTTTTCCATTTCTAAATTTCAGTCTCTTCTGTACATGCAATGAATAGCTTTGCATGGGAACTGGGCGCAGAGGAGAACATCGTGATGGGCACCCTGGTAGAGCGCTCGCCATGTGTACAGGCATAATGCTCTGTGTGTAAATCTGCATGCCTGGAGCAAAATGCTGAGAAGCCCTTCACCAGAAAGAATTCACTTGAGACAGGAAGGAAATTTCCAGTATTTGGTTTTTTGCCCACAGCAGAATGTTATTTTCTCTAGAATGCAAATTTAATTGTTGTAATCCATGCATGTATCTTCATGTCTTAAAAAAAGGAATCCCAGGCAACCCCATAGCTAATCTCTTCAACCTATAAGGCAAATACTATGTGGTATCATCTGTAAATGATGCTAGTTTAATCTGTGCTTGAATGTTTTTCATTAGTTAATAGGGCCTTTAAGAGTAGAAATAGATATGTGTCAGTATGCTGATGTTTCATTTGTGATTTAACAAATTATATATTCTAGAGATAATGAATGAAATGGCTGATTCTGCTCAAAAATTAGAAATATTGTGCCTGCAGTGGGAATGTTTTATTAACAGTTGTGATTAGTACCAATTAGACAAATTTCCAAATATTTTCATCTCTTCTGTCACACAAATATAGCAATGCTTTTCTAAAGCAGAAACTCTCCATTTGAAATGCATGTCTCATATGCACTGCACCTATTAATAATTTAGTCACTCTTTGTACAACTGCTCAGGATTTCTGTATGCCATGGGTGCTTTCAAATGTTCAACAGACCTGGTTTTGAGGGTTGCAGCTATGCCCTCATTTCAATTAATTGGCGTTTTGTTAGAAATGTTAATTAAAAAAATAAAAGAAACCAGTGAAGCCAAGCAGTCTACAGGGGCAATCAAGCTCAAAACAGAGCAGATGAACACTCATAATGGAAACAATGGCATCTGGGATGCCTAGTTTCCAGGAAAACAAACTGATGAGATTAATCAGAGCACAGGCGCTCACAGCCTCCTTGTTTTTCTTGGGGAATTCAGGTTCACTGCCTCTACCAGGACAAAGGACTGTGATGCACAGTAGCTGTTCAGCACTTATTTAGCCTTCTAACCCACAGGAACACTGAGCTCATGGATGTAGGCAGTCTGTTTTAATGGAGCAAGTGTGAGCTTGGACATGCATCTTGGGGTGTCAGCAATGCGAGGTGGCACATCCCCTGAGCAGTACCCAGCCTTGGATATGCCCCATGCTCATGACTGTGCTTGCTGCAATGTTACTGGGGCTGACGTAGCCCAAAAGGGTGCCAGGCAGTTTGAACTCCTTTTGGTAATTTCCCCTCTTCCACGTGGACCCAGTGTCTGGATGCTGCCCAAGTCACTGATGTACTGGTCTGTGGGGCAAGCACAGGGTCCTCTTGAATAGCAGTGGTTGAAACAGAAAGAGAAACAAAGCTTCC